TATATATACAGTACTCCAGTAAAGTATATGACTAACATTTTGACTTAAGTAGAGTAATGTTGTATTTGTACTTTTTTACTTTCACCTCTGGGCATTGTTTAAGCTCAGGTATAAATCCTGCTTATTTACACCTCATAAATGTTTTCCTGAGCCTGATGCAATACAACTTTCAACTTTTATTAACCAAACCTGTGAGAAGTACTCAAAGATGTGATTGAGTTTTTTCTGCCAAAAAAAAAAAAAAAAAACAGACAAATCTACAGATTACATAAGTAGGAGGAGAGTTTTAGTTGAGCATTAATTCTGTCATCTTTCGCCTCTGCCAAAGGAGGGGGAGAGCTCCTGGTTGAGGGTGGGGGATGGGTGGGAGGATTTACTACCCTGATAGTTATCCTATAGTGACAGTTCTGATGACATCTGTGACCCTGCACAGAGGCATCACGAACCGGCAATTTCCGCCCACAATCCCCACCCATCAGGGGAGGAGGGATGCTGCTCAAATCTCTCTGCAAATGAGGACATCACTGTTCCCTGATGAGAACTGGAACAAACAGCATGTGGGGCGTTTGAACAGGATTTCCAATTCTGAGCAGGAAAATGGAAAAGCTGCTGAGAACTGCTTAAAACTTTGACAGATCCGAATTGTTGATGTGAAATCTGTGGACATTAAATGGCATAAGTTGATTTTTTCCCCCTTTTTAACATTTTTTTTTCCTTCACAGATGTGTCTGAGTTGTTTAAAATAGTTTTTGTTCATCTTCTAAAACTGGCAAATTCCAAGAAGAAAACTTTGGACAGAGTCAAAATGAAGTTTCAAAATTTAGGCACGCGATGCACGTTCGTCGAACTTCTACACTTTTACTTTTGGATATTTTTGAGCAGACTGTGACGAATCCCTTGCGTACTTTTGGCACCATGCCTTATCATGATGAGGAATACCCAGATCAGCCTCTCTGGCAGTCGGTGCTGCTTTTCTGCTGCAAAGGCATGATTGAAGGGATCATGGTCATCCTCTTCTTCTGGCTCCTGGTGCAGGTCCTCTTCACCAAACAATTAGAAGGTATGTTCTTATAGATTAAGATATGAAGATGTAAGAAAAAGATCAGCTGTCTCTGCAGTCAGGGAAAAAATGGATCAGAAATTACCATCAGCACATGCCAAAAAATGTTTGTAAATACTTTCTTTGCTTTGAACAGCGAAAACACAACAGTTTTAGTTCGGAACATCTAAGTGACATCTAAAATGTTGATAAGAAATTGGCAGAGCATGGCCACCCCAATAAAAATTTCTGGAGGCGCCACTGCTTTAGATGTTTAAATAACAATTTGCTTCTTCAGCATCAGTGAAATTTCTAAATGAACATTTATGAATGTTATTCTGTGTTTACGGACATTTTACTGTTTACTAAACTTTAATTTTTAGTGCTAATTTCACCCAGTTTAGCCTAATCACCTGCACAGATGCTAATCAGGCATCTTTTTTATTCGAAAAAGTTTTAGATATCTTCACAAAACCACGGTCAATTAAAAATCTACCATCTTAGTTTTAGCAAAAAAAAAAAAAAAAAAAAAGAGAACAGTGTCATTCTGCTGCAAATTTGCTTCCATTTCCTTCAGTATATTCCCATGAAATTTACCTTTTATAAAGCTAGAAAATACCTTTAGAACTAGGAAACAAAAAAGGAAATTATAAATGGATAACGATCATCAAAGCCTCAGTTTATGACACATTTGTCACAGATTGAGGATTTTGTAAAGCATCTATTTTAATCATAGATCAACAGGTGCACATAGCAGGGATTATTTCAGTATTATTTTTCTCAGTGAACACAATCAGTTTAATGACAGATTTACACCTGGCTACAGAAAACATGATGCAGACTTTGTTAAATAAATAAATAATAAATAAATAAATAAACAAACAAACAAATTAGAAGCAGGAAGGTGCCACCTTAACAATTGTGGCAAGATAATGTTTTTTTTTTTTTTGCAAGAGTTTAAGTTTAGTATACTGTATCAGCAACTTTCTAACATCTTAACTTGGGTCATTTATCACAGAAAAACTCAGTCAAAATTCTCAGGTAAAATTAAACACACATCACAACTCATGAAGTTGTGGAACATCCTGCCAGTAGTCCTAGAAAACACCCTGAACAGGTCTCCAGTCCATTACAGGGACACACAAAGACAAATTCACACTACTCAGACCTATATATACAATTTAGAGTTACCAATTATTTTAACAGATGGTCTCATACAGTATTTGGGTTTAGAGATAAATTTGTTTCCATTTTGTTAAAAGTACTGTTAGAGATGTTAGAGTGTTTTAAGTATTAGCTGAGGTCTGTTGCTCTTTGGTTAGCAATAGCCTTGCCTCATCTGACCTCGGGGTCAACATGCCAGGACGTGCATGCCATCTGTCTACTACTTGGGAAAACTTTCACACGATGGCGTCATTCGACGTAAAGTTGTCTGCAAGGATCAGGGAGAAAGTTCCAGAAAGAGGCAAAATTCAAACCTCAAGTTTTTAAATCAAAGTCAAAAGCGCTGCAGGTGCTAAAAATTGAAGAAGTCAAGTCAAAAACGTAAAGGTATGACAAAGAGTTGAATAAAGAACAATAATAACCTGAGACTCAAATTATGTTGAGATAAAGTAACCCAGGATGTGTATGAACAGAAAATGAGAAGCAGGTGTGACAAAAAACATAAAAATAGAAGCAACTGAAGCAAACCAAGATATAAATTTAGATAATTTAAGTACTAAGTTTTTGATAACTTCATGCAGTAATTTCACAAAAGTTTTAGTTGTATTTAGTTAATTTTAAGAATGGGCAAGAGCATTAATTTTTATTTATTTTTTCCTAATTTGATACCTGAGGGTACTGCTATTGTACTTTTTTTTCTTTTCGCCATGTGCATGAAAGCTGATAAAACAAACCTCTGAAGTATTTCTCTTTTTATTTCTACAGTCCATCTTCAGATTCTTCTTCTGGTTGGCCTCACTGTCTTTTGCCTCACTTTGATCCTGGGTTGTATAATCTGCTGCACAAAAAGCCAGATATGCTCAGGAGAAGACAAGGCTTCTGTCACATCAGCACAGGCTCCTGTAGAACCCGTGACCCCTGCTCAGAACCGGCTGTCCACAGGAACAACCACCGCATCCAGGCAGCTATACGTGGAGCTGGAGGGAGACCCGTCAGAGTACCCCTCCACGTTTACCAGCCCGGCCCCTTCTCAGGAGGAGTTTCTCCCTGGGCTGTTTTCTGATCGAGCTCAGCCCGCCTGTGAAGAAAACCAACAGGCAACGTCGTGTTTCTCCCCTCGCCGCTTTAGCTCACCGCTGCAAACGGCACCTCTTTACAAACCCATGCACCCCAGTCGAGCGTCCCTGCCCTCTTTGCCCAAACTGGGACTGTTGACCAAAACATGCAAAGCTCTGCAGAAGCGTTCCTCTGCCACTGAAGACAACAGACCATATAATGAACACAGCAGACTCAACAGGCACAGGATGAGCTCTGCATTTATGCCTGAAAACTCAATTCCACTGGTTCCACTGAACTATGGCTCCAACGCAGTCTCCAAACAGCTGTTTTCATCCAAACCCTGCCTCCATTTTACCATGGCCTTCTCTGCAGACCAGCAGACTTTGGCAGTCACTGTCTTAAACCTCACTGGGATGCCTCAGGGACTGGAGGGTTTGACCGTACTGGGCAGCCTGCCACCTCTGCACACCAGTCCGACTCCGGCAGCGTTTCGGAGCGGCCTCGGCCACAAATCCGAAGGCCTGGTGCTGTTCTTGAACGTGAGCTCTGAGGAGGAGCTCCAGACTTGTGAACTTCGATTAGCTGTAAATGAGCAGAGAACACACAGGGCTGAAGGCTCCACTTTGGGTGAAGTGGAGGTCAAATGTGGGGGAAGAGACTGGAGACCGGAGCATCCGGTTCACCTCGTGAAAGAGCTCACCCACAAAAACCTGACAGCTGAACAGGGATCTGTGAGCAGGTGGTGATGTCTGAAGTACCATGCTGACTTGTAGATGACACTTGATTTTTCTGTCAATGCACTTTATTCCTATCAACAAATAGGCCAGTGGTCATCTTCATAAGTTTTTCTAACCCACTTATATCCATGGAGTAAATGTTAACATGTTGAGTCTTTAAACAAAACAGAAAGTTTGTGTTCCAGTTTGAAAACTTCTTTCATCTCTCTTTCTTTTCAATCATTAGGTTTCTTGCTAATTGGTTAGGTTTAAACTTAAGCTTTTTTTTAGTACTGGGACACTCAAATCAACAGTAATGTTATTTACAAGATGCAGATTTGTTAGCTGATATATGCAACACATAACCCTGAGATTATAAATGGCTCCTACTAGTTCATATTTATAGTAAAAATTAGCTTCACATGCAGTGAATCAAGTTCATCTTTGGTTAGGAGATTTTTCTGTGTTTTATTGTGAACAGAGTTATTAAGGGCAGGGGTTTTTGTCTGTTTTCACACTCCACAGCTTAGAAAATAATTAAAATCACACACACACATGCAAAAAAACATGTTCTAAACTTTCCAAAACTGCAAAGTCTCATGACTTACTTTTAGTCAGCGTTTTTGTCTTGTTTCTCTTAAAGCTGACATATCTAGCTTAAAAATCTTTCTTTTTCACATTTAAACTATTCAGTTGGGGTCTATATAAAGTGGAACTGCAACGATTTGACCTGGTTTCATTGCAACTCCTCAAGCCCCTCTTTCACCCCTCCTGAGGTGTGTCTCAGATCAACTCGTTTTGATGCTGTCTCTTTAAATCCAAATGACTTGTTTAATGGAAAAATAACTTCTCTCACTTTCACATGCTTCCCAAAGCTATGAGTCACTGACCCCTTTTTACTGACTCATATTTCACCCAGGTTTATGACGCCATTGTTTATTGTTTATCTCCTGTTGACTTTATTGTTTTATGACTTCATTCTGTTCTCATTAATATAAGGTATTTTACCATCAGGCTAGGATGTGGTGGAGATAACCACCCCTGCTAGGGACAGTTTTCCAAACGTTTTCTTCTTGTCTGTTTAGATAATCATGCAGATATCGGGTATAAGAGGAGGCTCTCAGCCCCTGCCTCTTTAGCACAGATGCTGTTCAGACCTGTGTTACACTTTTGTGCCTTGCAGCTGCAATAAAACTCAGATGAACAAGTCTACAAAGTGCCTTTTTATTTTATTTTCACCTGTTTCTGTCCTTGTTAAAATTAAGATTTCCACAACAAATTGCTTCACACTCTACCCCTCTCCTTCCAAAGCAATCTCTTTTTCATTTCCGACTATGTAGTGGCACAGAAACTTTTTATTTACAAATTAATTAAAAGATGTCACCAACAGAAGACTTGTCCATCCAGCCTTACATGTTGGAACCAGAGTCTGAGCTGGAGGAGAATGAAAACCACCAAATTATAAGCCCAGAACGTTTTTAGCAGTTCTGTCACAAATACTGTGATGTCATAGTTCATAAAACATAATAGAGAATAAAGAAGACTGAAAAGGTTGAAAAATATGAGCCAAAAAGAATATAAATACAGTATATCTATGCCTCTTGAATGGTTAGGAACCTTTTTATACTTTCTTTTATTGTGTGTGTTTTTATCTTCTTTTTTATGCTAAATGGACCTTGAGTCTGTAATAAAGTCTGCCTGTCTATCTATCTATCTATCTATCTATCTATCTATCTATCTATCTATCTATCTATCTATCTATCTATCTATCTATCTATCTATCTATCTATCACAAGGAGAAACTAAATTCAAATTATCTGCACTCCTGGAGACTCCAAGTTCACAACAAAATTTATTTAATGACTAAAAAGTGGATTTTGCATATGTCCCCTTCAGGGAGTGTCAGACACAGGTGTACCGAGACGACCCGGGCAGCAGCTTTAACCTTTAATTTTTCTTTTAGTTCTTTCTTTATGTCTCATACAATTCATACATCAAATTTGGAGGTATTTTTAAGCTTAGACTTTTACAAAGCTGATATTAGAATTTGGGTATTCACACTTTTCAAAATTCATTGAGAATTTTCCTAATTGTTATTCCTGAGCTGTAGTCTCATTCACACCTGACTGTAATTTGTCATCAGTTCACTTGTCTTTCGCTCCTGGTTCTGTTAAGTTCACTGTTTTTTTTTTTCCTGTTGTGGTTTTCATTTTTTCTTGTTCTTTATCAAAGAGTCTACTTGCTCCTGGGCCGGTGTCCCTAATGCCTGGGACTGGATTTACACCCTCATGACGGTCCCAAGGCAAACATTTGTGACTAGACATCATTTTATTGTGCCTGTGAGCACAAACATTTAGTTTGACTGCAGAGCTGGAGGTCGAGCATTACAATCTGAGTTCAACACATGGAATAATTTCTTAGCTGAAATGCTCTGATGTAAGGGGCAAAATGAAAAAAAGAAAAAAGAAAACGACCATGCTTTTTATTTTGTATCATGTTTATTAATTTTTCACTATGCAATCCACAGCTGCATGCTGACTGAGATCCTCTTTCTGCCCTTTGACCTTTCACCCAGTCGCTGCCGAGCTTGAGCTCCCAGGATGCACTGGTGTGTCAGGGGCTTAGCTGATTTACATTGAGCTTCAGTATCAGGCTCTGAACCACTGCATCAAAACCACCATCATCAGAGCCGAGAACCTTGACTACCTCACTCACACATCATCATCATCATCATCGTCATTGTCATCATCATCGTCATCATCATCGCCATCATTGTCAGCAGCAGCAGCAGCAGCAGCAGCAGCAGGTAAAACCAGTATGATACACTGCATGTAGAAACATAACATAACTGTGTGTGTGGGGAAACTAGGCTTTGCTTCTCTGGGACAGAGGTAAAACATTTCCCCATGTTTGCTTTTAATGTTAAAGGGATTAGGTGCTGTCTTACTGGAGCTGAATGCAGCAGGAGATGATCTCTTTTTGTAATGACACTGTAGATTATTTCTTTGCTATTTACACTCCTCAGGAAATTGTTTCAGTCTCCATGCATGGGAACTCTGAGCTGACGTTTTTATTGTGTGTTCGCATTTGACAGTCTAAAAGTTGAGCCTGCGTGTAGAAATATAAGGTTTGCCTTATTTCACACAATAAAATGGATTTTTTTGTTTTGTTTTGCATTAGGTTCTGAAAGTATTTGTTCAAAAACTTTGACAATCCTGTGCTTTTAGAAAACATTTTTTGCTTGGTTTCATATTTAACTTATTACAGTTTTCTCTGATTGAATCGAACAATAAAACCTGACACATTGTTGTAACTAGAAACATTTTTGAAAGAAAATGGTTTGTCATTTTACTAAACTGGCAAGTTTCTAAATCAGCATTTATATCACATTTATATCACCCACTGGTAAATGTGATACATGTCTGTCTGTCTGTTTTTTAGCAAAATATCTAATGACCTATAGATTTTCATGAAACATTCAGAAAATAATAATTGAACGGTCATTTACTACTTATTAACTTGTGGGATTCAACACAGTTCAAATACCTTATCAAACAAAATTGGCTACACAACCAAAATGTTTGGACACATCCTGACGTTCAATGTCTTTAATCTGAAGACTATAAGACTACGAAAAAACACATGTAAGGGATCATGTAGCAAACCTAAAGTGCCAAACAAATCAAAATATGCCTCAGATTGTAGACGACTCAAAGCAGGCACCCCTTACTTTAACCACAGACTGCACACTCTTGGTATTCTTTGGAACTCCTTCAAGACTGTAGGAAAGCAGTTCCAGGTGATTACAGAACCTCATGAAGCTGATTGAAAGACAGAAGTGTTCACAGCTGCAATAAAAACAAAAGGTGCCACACTGAACAATGCAAAATCCAAAGCATGTTCTGGTCTGTTCAGCACCTCCAAGTTCACTACATGGCTCCTTCTAGATGACCCCAGTACCACCCCACAACGTAGGAAAAACATTAAATGATAGTGTAAATCAGTCAGTTTCACAGATAAAGTTAACATTTGGTATGCCAGTATCTTCAACACAGATTGGACAATTTTCTGTGCATTTAAAATGTTTGACCAGACGGCTAGAACTCCTTCATTTCCCAGATAATCCTAGCTTGAATCACAGATATGGAAAGAAGTGGGCGGTGTTCAGCTCCTTCACATAATTGTTCAGTAGCTGCTGTGGGTCTGAGAAGAAGGCGCTGCAAAGAGTGATTAAATCTGCTCAGAAAATCACAAAAGGAAGCCTACATATTTAGAGGACATTAGCAGCAGCAGATCCAGGATCCCCCCCGCCCCCCCCCACCAGCTGTTCTTCTTCCCCTCAGGCCGAGGCTGCACAGCCTGAAAACCCACACAGCCGCACTGAATGATGATACACAATAAACTAAACTAAAGTTTTGACATGTTCCCATGCTCCTGTGCAAAAATTACCAGTCAGTGATCAACCTGCACCACAAGGGAGTTTTAATCAGCAGCAGAGAAACGTCTCGAGAGTCCTGCACCATCTGCAATGCTTCCTTCCTGTTCCACTTTCCTCCAGGTGTCATCAGTCAGCTGCTCGTCCTGCTCGAGGTTCTTATTGTGCAGGTAATGGTTTCAGTCAAGCTTCAACTTTCCAATGGCTTCCTGTTTGACTCAAACACTTTGGCACAGAGGAGTTCATGGTCGACTAAAATCTGCAGGTCGTGTTGATGCAAAACGAGCCCAAATCATCAGATCTCCTCCACCATGCTGACCATGTGGGTTCAGTTCATTAAAGCTGATAGGCTTTTTGTTTTAATCCAAACATGCTGCTGCTGTGCTTTATGGCCAAAGATCATTGTCCTAGATTTATAGTTTGTTCAGATGAACGTTTACTAAATAGTCATGATATGAAGATATTTATTCTTTTTTGAGATGGAGCTCTCTGTTTTTTGCTTTTTCAGTTTTTCGCTGAGTCTGAACTCAGCTGATCTCACTATTGGAAACATTTGCATTTTTCTAACCTTACATTAACTGTTTAAATCCACCTGAGAGATAGATTATAAAACATGTTTAGGACAGTGTGTGTTTGTCTTTTTTTTTCCATGTGTAAAACTCTTAAATTTAAGAGGTCTAACATGACTGTAAAATCACTGAAGAGATTTACAGAGAAGATTGATTTGATTTGATTTATTTATTTGACAGGAAAAGATTATTAAAAATCAAGCCTGACTCAGCATAATTGCTGTTT